TCTTCTCTGGCTCTGTCTTCTCTGGCTCTGTCTTCTCTGGCTCTGTCTTCTCTGGCTCTGTCTTCTCTGGCTCTGTCTTCTCTGGCTCTGTCTTCTCTGGCTCTGCCTTCTCTGGCTCTCTCTTTTCTCTCTCTCTCTCTTTCTTCTCTCTCTCGTCTCATAGTCGTCTCTATCTTTATTTTTTATTTTTTTCAAAGTCACCTCTAGCCTTTTTGATTCCTTGTCTGATCGTCTTCTTCTTCTTTTTATCGTTCTTGCCTTCTTTCTCATCCTATCCGGATATTGTTCTTGTTTCTGTTTATCTACTGAGTCTTGTTTCTCTTCTCATTCTTGTTCGCTTGTTCTTCTTGTTTCCTGTTGCTCAGTGCTGCTGCTGTTGTTAACTTTTCTTTCTTTCTTTCTTCTTTTTTTCTAACGGAGTTCTTGTTCATGTACTAGTTGTACTTCCTGTTGTTGCTGTTGATGTTGTTCTTAATTCTTGCTGTCTCTTTCAGTACTTCTTCGTCTTCTTTTTCTTTTTCTTTTTCTTCCTCCTCCTCTTCCTCACCTAGCCTCTCTTCACTTATATTCTTATTTATTCTCTGTCACCTTTACTTTTTATTCGCTTAAACCGAATTTCAATCTTTAAAAAACTAGCATAGCTTTGAGTATTAAGAGAGAATCCTTTTCGTATTCAAGCGGTGAGCGCCAAAAACTATTTTCTTGAAGAAAGGCTGTTGTACAAGGCTAAAATCTTGTTATTCAGAAAGTTTAGCTTGTTTGGAAGTGGAGATGACCGATGAAAGTGGAATAAAAGTGTTAACCCAAAGCAAAAATTGAATCGAAAATGAGGTTTAGACCTTCATTTGCTTATTTCCAATACATTTTCTATAAAAAAAAAGCCTGACAAAGCTACATTCTAACACAAATGCAACAAAACGTCTTTGTACAATTGAAAATACCGCTTTTAAGCGAGCATTTTATCATAGTAAATCAGTTTCTAACTGTTTAAAAAAGGTTTTGAGTGTTAACCCAAAACGAAAATTGAGATCAAAACTCATAGGAAAGTCTAGTTTTTGGTGCTTTTTGCCATTATTGCTCATTATTGAAAAAAATTCCCTCTTAATGTCATCACTATGATAATAACAACGACAACTGAGTTTAATCTGTCGACTGCACTGAATTTACTTCAGCCAAAATGATGGATTATAATATCATTATTAAGATAATGAGCAAGTCAGTACGAAAACCTAGTGAAGTCTTCTTTTATCATAATGTAATTCTTGTAGATTGATTATGAGCCGTTTAAGTTATTTTCTAACCCGGATGAGCAACACAGTATTTAGAGGCTTTTTAAGCTAATGGTCATATAATTTAAAAAAAGTTTAGGATTTTTTGTCTTGTCTGATTTGTTAAGAGCATTTAAATTTTGTCTGTCTTTTCGTTTCTTGTTCGATCACTTCGGCTGTCATTTTGAACCGCTTAATGGAACAGCCATCCTTTGAATCAATATGATTTCATTCCATCCATCCATCCATCCATCCATCCATCCATC